CCACATATAAAAAGACATGCATACATGCATGTATACATGTTCGTACACATAAAAATCATAGCCAACGCTTCAAGTATAAATTCTCCAAAATTAATGTTTTAGGGAATTTTAAATCAGTTCTTGTGTCTACACTTGAAGATAAGTTCGTTCCACTGGTTCAATAATCCATCAGCATTCTCATACTTAATCATCATGATTTTGTTATGTGACGGTTATAATGCAATGATGAAGGTTTTGCTGCATAAACTGACTAGACAATTTCAATGTATCTATTCTGAATATGATCACTCTCTTCCCCCATACTGTTTTTTAACTTGCCAATACCGGAAGAAAAAGTCTTGTCTGGCTCACCCTATCTACTATGCTTAATTCCCTCTTTCCTTTCTTTCCCTCCCCATATCTATCTTTCACTTTCCCCCGAAAACATTATATTGAAATTTTTATCTTTTCAGACTTTACAGACATAATGAACACGCAGACACCCCTTGTCTAGTGGAAGTGGATTTATCTGTAACCTTGGAAACGTGAATTATGATTTTAGCTGTGTCTTTAAAACCCAGTAATTTTAAAAGTTACTCCAAAATTCGCTTGAGGATGAAATGGAACTAATGTCTTTAATTTAATTACAAAATTAAATTCGTAGCTTTTAGCTTCCATTTTTGAAACATGGTTAGAACTGTGTAGCGAAAAAAACATATTTTAAATCAATTAATTTATAATATATATATATATATATATATATATATATATGTGTGTGTGTGTGTGTGTGTGTGTGTGTGTGAGATATCCCAGACGGTTGGTTTGAACAAAAACGAATGAAAATAAAAGACAAGTATATTTTAACACATAAATAAACAACTTTTATTCATTCACTGTCTGAGAACAACAAGGCTTGTATGCATTGAAACACAGAATTCCACATGCGTGTCAACCGGTCACCATGTTCAATTCAGAAATGGCGCCTCAATTGGTGCATACGAATTCCTCCAAATGCTTGTCAATGTTTGGCCAATAAACATACCTGTGAATTTTATACGGCTAATACCTTGATGACCATGCTTGCCTGGTCACGTTGTCATGTATTATAACTTGATTTCACCCCTATCCATCAAATCTAATATTCTAATTTTACGAGTGAATGTCCTCTTAGATATAATATAAATGTTATAAAAAAATTTCTCAAGCAAGCGTACGAGAATTCAACCTCGTCCGCTTTTCTTTAAAGAACTCAAAAACGTGAAACAGACAATAGTTAATAATGGTTCTCCGAATTACCTCAGAGATCACCAAATTAGACTATTTTTATAGTAACCAATAGCAACTCCGAACAGAGATAAAACCGGAACATTAACATATTCTATAAAAAAATCAATTGCATGTTAACTATAAGCAGGATGAATTCTCCCTTAGAAACATTGTAAATAAATACCCAACCTCAGTCGACCAGAAGAAGAAAATTAAATTAATTATCGGCTATAAAATATAAAACAACTAACCTTATAGTCAAGAACAATAACTCACCTGTAAGATCCAAATTACAGAGAAACAATATAAATTATGAATTCACGTGTCCTTTAAAAATCTATAAAAAAAATCTATACATTTAGTTAAAAAAATCCTTGATAATGGCTAATAGAATAGCCGAAAGCGCTCGGATATATAGAACATTCGGACAATTTTACAGATTTTATGTTCAGAAAAGAAATCACTTATACGAACACAAGAAAAATTGTCACCATGACAACGGAATACAAATTTTATCAGTTATAAAAGCATGTTTGTCATTGCAATTTACCCCCTAAATATGATTTTGGAAAAGGTCGGAAGTATTTGGGTTAAAAGAAAGTACAGCGCCTTCCTTGATGAATTTCATCTCAACCTCAAAAAACTGATTAGACAACAGGAAAGGCTCAATATAAAAATAAGTAGACACAATATGTCTGTATTATTCAATGAATCATGTTTGAATGTTTTTCATGCTGCATATATATATATATATATATATATGTGTGTGTGTGTGTGTGAAAAATGTATATATATATATATATATATATATATATATATAATTATTTATATATTATATGCGCGGTACTTATTAGAAACGATTCCCCCACTCCCATAATAACACCAATACACGCAATCTACATAAACCCAAATTTTTAAAAAATTAATCAGTTTGTCTGACGATCGCAAAAGCGTGAAACCCAGGGTCACAAACTCACATCAATCCAGTCAAATATATATATATATATATATAATTATTTAACGAGTTCTTTCCTATTTTCTATATATTTTCACACACACACACACACACACACACACACACACACACACACATATATATATATATATATATATAAACTTTCTGCAATATAATGTAACTTTCATATTGATTCTGCATCGTGTGATTTTAAAGACTGCTTATTCAAGTATTATGCCAGCCTGAAAATTCATTAGTTCTCGTCGTCTACTCTTTCCGTCTCTCTATCTTTTCCTATAGCACTTACGTGACTATGTGCACGCACGTACACGCGGCAGAATCATAACCGTGTCTACCCAATCTGACCTTTTCGATCTGCAAGCTTCTGTGCAAATTTCTTCGTATGAAATTTTTTAAAAGTTTCCACACAAAAAAGTATATTAATTAAAATGTATTACGTCTAAGCGAATGTAAGCGTTACTTTCAACGAAAGAAAGAGTTAGATGTATTCAACGGAAAGAAAGAGTTAGATGTATTTTTATGATCAGACAATCGCTCCTAACCTGTTGAACCTGTAGTACTAGTTTAATGGTCAACACTCTGGCGTCTCATTGTCGAAAAATTCTTCTTCTTCTTCTTCTTTGTACCGTTTCCCTTCAGAACCTTAGCGATTATGGCTCCCCACAATTTCCTGTCCTTTGTAACTCTTAATACATTTTGTCTTTTTGTTAACTCTCCTAAACCCTGTTCCTCCATCCATTTACACAAGTTCGCTAGGTCGCCTTCAATCTGTCCTGTGAGTATCAAATTTCTCCAGCCCCCTTTATTATTATGTGTGAGGTGCAGAGAGACCAACAATACTCCTTGTAGCGCCAAAGATGAAATCATAGCAAGGATTATGACAACATTCACCAACAAGGGGATTCCAATGTCGTCTGTAGGCCATGCTTGAAGCCAATGACGATTATATTGAATAAATTTACTCAGTAAATTTAGTATTTCAAGATTTTTTTTTGGTAATTTTGGTAAATATATCTGTTAAAATGAGATGTCAGTGTAATTTTTATTTTTGCGTAATTTAGACGACAGTTTATCCGTCGCACCCTGTATGCATACATGGACTTTCATACACGTATGCATACTTAGATTCACACTATCTTTTTCGATGCACCATGTCCCTTCGAGACGTTAGTGATCATGGATCTCCACGATGTCCTGTCCTTTGTAGTACCTAATAAATTTTATTTTTGTGTTACCTCTCCTAAACACTGTTCTGACATCCAGTTAGATTATGCATTGCTATCCTCTGTTCCTGTGTATAGCGTATGGCACATAACTGACTGAGTGATGCTAAGTTCGGCAATTAGATCGACAATTAGATCTCAGTTAGATTAAGTACTCTTAACTAAAATAAATCATGTCTATTCAATGAGCAAGTTTGTACTAGCCATTTGCTACTCTTCATTATACAAGCAGTTCTGAAATAGTTCAAAATATCCAAAGTTTTTTTTGGTTGTAATAAGCCAATACGGTAATTTTTTTTATGTTTTACATAAAAAAAAACTCAATGGAACATCTCTCAACATTTTATTTCTGTTGTAACCAAGTAAAATGGTTAAAGAAATAACAATACAAGTGTTGCAGATATATCATGTATTAAACAGTAAGTACAACAGAAGAGTATTACACAACTAGTGAGTGTGTGTCGGTTGACCCAGCGTTCAATTTATTCGACTGTTGATATTTAGTAGCACCCCCACGAGGGTAAATGTGGCACAAGACCGAGTTTAACGTGAGTCATCCGAGCCCATAGGCTCGTCCAAAAAAATCCTGTAGAACCTGCATAAACGGGTTCGGGTCCATCTACCTCCTCGGACGAGACTCTGCCCTTCGGCATTGCCTCGTCCGGGTTCCTCTTTGCCCAAAGGCAGAGAGTTCGACAGTAGCTGCAATGAGTCACAACCTCGGTAGAACAATCTTATTAGACTGTTATGTTTAACATCCCCCACCACGAGGGATGTATGTGGCACAAGGCCGAGTTTACCGTTCTCCGAGCCCGTAGGCTCGGCCAAAAATATTTCCTTTGAACCCGCCTAGACGGGTTCAGGGACTGTTTACCTCCCCGGACGAAACCCTGAGGCAAAGCTTCGTCCGAGTTCCTCTCTGCCGAAGCAGAGAGTTCGACAGTTGAACAATCTAAGCGACTGTTCCCCAAAACCTTCTCTCCTACTAATCTTATAGTAGGCGGAAGAGTCCAACATAGACTCTTTAGAGGGAGGACACCACAGCAGACACCACAGTAATTTCACTATTACACTATTATGTTAAATAAATCAGAACGAGAAGATAGAGAAAAGGCTGACAGTAAGGTTGAAGTTATTTTAAAAACGCGATACCATACTGCATATTTATGAGACACAGTATTTGTTTAAGATAACACAATTGATAAACATATTTATTATACATAAGGCATCATGCGAAAGTCAACAACAGAAGTAGGTGACATTATTTTTTAAATTTTTTGGATAGAAAACTATTTTTAGTTGTCACGATATCGCTCATATACTATAAACACGTTCTTCTTTTCAGGGCGTGGGCGATCATGGCGCTCCACAACTTCCTAAGCCTTTCTCACACGTAGCAAATTTTTTATCCCACACATTCCCGGATCTGCCATCCATTTACACAAGCTCGTTAGGCAGGTTACTCACTGTTTCTCTCTGCACCTCCAACATTCGATATGTCCAATGAGTGTCTTAGAATGTTAAACTCTTTCTGATTCTGGGTTTACGGCAATATCTCGGTTCCCGTACGATCACCGAAGTTAAGCAACGTCGAGCCTAGCTAGTACCTAAATGGGTGACCAATTAGAAATACTAGCTGCTTTAAGCTTGGATATGCGGGTTGTGTAATGGACAACGGTTTGACATTGGAAATCAGAGAGGCGAGCTCCAATTCCAGTTGGGTTTCTTATATTCACTTAACGTTGGGAAATGTATGCATCCACCTCTTCTCCTTAACTATGGGTTAATTAGTAGAACCTCTATCAGTAAAAATCATCACCAAAACATTTTAACAGTCTATTAATATTTTCTGGCTTTAAATAACCTGCAAATGGTTGATAAGACGTTAAAATCAATAAATAAAAAATGTTTATGGCTTTATGTATAAGAGTCTATTTTGCTTTCGTTTCGTTTGCTTAAAACATCTTCGGTGTTTTGTCCATGGTATTCTTGACATTTCTGATGCCTCCGGTTTTCTCTTCATCTGTGAAGGAATTGTCGAGTATTTACCGCCATATAAGAGCATTGTTGATATCACATAGCAGTTCGACGGTATTTTCTTTGTTTCTGACGATATTGTCCTGTTTCTTAATACACCGTTTAGATTTTGAAAGGCGTTATTACTGTTGTAATGCCTCTACTGATTTCGGTGTCACACTTTCTGTCCTCTGTTAAAACAGTTCCCAAATTTGTACTTATGTACTTGTTTGATTTTGACATCTCCAATTCGTAGCTTGCATCTTGGGCATTTTCTCTTGTTAACAGCCATAGATTTTGCACATGATGTTTAGTCCTTTCTTCTCGCTTTCCTTTACTACATTGTCTAGGAGCTCTTGTAGTTTCCTTTCTATGTCTCCAGTCAATAAACTGTCAGCAGCATATCTTATGTGGTTAAAATTTTGTCGACCGGTGAATGTAGTTTGCTGTATGTAAAAAAATATCTTGAAACTGTTGAGAGTCAGAACAAAGTTATTTGGATACTAAGACGTTGTTATGATTACAAATTATCGACTTAGAATAAGTCAACCGCATCCTCTGCTCACGGGTAAGACCCTCACTCCTAACAAGGACTACCTTCCCGTTAAATCCTTGTAAACCTGACTTATGTTTATTTTTGGCTATAGTGGAAACTATGTCTATCTATCTATTAATTCATTGTGTTTTTTGTCCTTTTAAATTCATATTCTACATTTACCCAACCTTGGTTGAAATATCGTTAAAATAACCAACTTATACTCACAAAGTTTTCGTATTTATTACATCTGTCGTACAGGGTAAATTTCGAACCGGTCCCTTTATTCAGTAGACGAGTGGTAGATCGTTCTCATAAGCTCAATCCTTGACTCAGGTAGTGTTGAAAATTTATATACTCAGATTCATTGGTAGAGACGAATAGAGGATCAAATGATACGAGTTATCTCCCCTAATCATTGAAAGCGGAATGAAAATTCGTTCCAAAATTTAAAAAAAATTAATTTCAAAATTCCGAGAAGGTTACCGAGTACGACAGACATCTGAAGAAGGCTAGAGGGACTATGGACGGAATATATTATTTTTGTTTTTCTTCTGAATCATTTTCAATTTTCTTCTCCCTTGTGTGACATGGCCCCTAATGTTCATTCTTGAATCAGATGTATAAACAATTTAATAAGAGACGCGCTGTTTTTGTGTTTCTACTTCCCTTTCTCTCTTTTGTGTGTGTGTGTGTGTGTGGGGGGGTTACTACCTATATGGACTAGTCTTTTTTCGGTGAAGAAAGGTCAGGAAAGGAATTTGGGGTTACTTGACAACAAAGAGAATGACCTCCTAAGAAAGTGAATAAAAATCAGTCACCTACACTCGCATAATCTCTAAATGAAATTTTGGTATTGTAACATTAGTTTCTCGATGACCTCCAACGACAACAGTTCGTGAAAAAAATAATACTCTCAGCATGCAATCATAAGGGATGAGAAATACACCCACAAATCTATTCCATTACTTGTTGTGTAGGGAATAAGGAAATTTTGTCCCACTGATCTATTTGACTATTTAATGCATAAAGGATAAGGATGATCATACCCAAAGAAATATAAATAAATCATTGTACTTTCATCTCGGATGCAATCCAATTAACCAAGGGGAAATGGAACACAATCATTATTCCGGAATCTTCTATTTCACATTGTGGGAGGAAGAACAACCAACTTCTGTGAACATTCTACACACAGCTTTGTCTATCTGCCATTACGAACATTCGAACTGCAAATACCTGAAGCACATACGTTTGAACTGACATCCAATATCAGTTAAGTGTTCTTTTATTAATTGTCCGTCTGTCACTCCATACTTATCCCATATTTTTTTATTTTGTTATATAAAATTTATTTACAAATGTTAATCTTGTGTTTGTTGTTCGTCGATACCTGTTCGTGTGTTCCTATCTGTGTGAACCCAAATTTTCCTTTATACGTTGGGAATTGGTAACACTTGTAAATTTCTTTCGTTCTTTCTTTCTTCTGGGTTCTTTTCAGTTTAATTCGTCCTTGTAAGTTTCTTCACTCTTTCTTTCTTCTTGGTTCTTTTCAGTTTTTGTCTTAGTTGTAAATTTCTTCTTTCTTTCTTTCTTCTAACTTCTTTTCAATATTTTCTTTCTTGTAAACTTCTTCTTTTCAGTTTCCGTCATTTGTAAGTATATCATTTTTTTCTTTCAACAGAGTTCTTTTCAGTTTTCATGTTAGCTGTAAATTTCTTTCTTTCTTTCTTCATTTTGAGTTCTTTTCAGTTTTCTTCTTTCTTGTGCATTTTTCATTATTTCTTTTTTTTCTTTCTTTTCTGTTATCTTTTTAGTTGTAAATTTCTTCTTTCTTTCTTTATTTCTTTCTTCCGAGATTTTTTTCAGTTTTCTTCTTCCTTGTAAATTTCTACTTTTTTTCTTAGCTCTTTTCAGTTTTCTTCTTTCTTGTAAGTTTCTTCTTTCTTTCTTTCTTTCTTTCGAGTTTTTTCAATTTTCTTCTTTCTTGTAAGTTTTTTTCCTTCTTTCTTTTGTTCCTTCTCCTGAGTTATTTTCAGTTTAGCTCTTACATGTAGATTTTTTCTTTCTTACTTTCTGTCTTTCTTTTGGATTTTTTTCAGTTTCTTTCCTCCTTGTAAATTTCTTTCTTTCTTTCTTTCTTTCTTTCTTTCTTTCTTCTGAGTTTTACACTTTACTTCTTTCTTTTAAGTTTTTCTTTCTTTATTTCTTTCATTCAGTTTTCTTTCTTTTCAGTTTTCAAATTCCTTCTTCCTTTCTTTCATCGGAGTTCTTTCAGTTTCTTGTAAGTTTCATATTTCCTTCTTTCTTTCTTCTGGGTTATTTTCAGTTTTTTTACTTGCAAATTTATTTTATCTTTCTTTCTTTCTACTGAGTTCTTTTCAGTTTCCTTCATTCTTATGAGTTTTTTCATTCTTTCTTTCTACTGAGTTCTTTTCAGTTTCCTTCATTCTTATGAGTTTTTTCATTCTTTCTTTCTATTGAGTTCTTTTCAGTTTCCTTCATTCTTATGAGTTTTTTATTCTTTTTTTTCATTGAGTTCTTTTCTTTCCTTCATTCTTATGAGTTCTGAGTTCTTTTCAGTTTCCTTCATTCTTATGAGTTTTTCATTCTTTCTTTCTATTGAGTTCTTTTCAGTTTCCTTCATTCTTATGAGTTTTTTCATTCTTTTTTTCTACTGAGTTCTTTTCAGTTTCCTTCATTCTTATGAGTTTTTCATTCTTTCTTTCTATTGAGTTCTTTTCAGTTTCCTTCATTCTTATGAGTTTTTTCATTCTTTCTTTCTACTGAGTTCTTTTCAGTTTCCTTCATTCTTATGAGTTTTTTCATTCTTTCTTTCTATTGAGTTCTTTTCAGTTTTTATCTTGTAAATGTTTTCTTTCTTTCATTCTTCATTCAGAGTTCTTTTCAGTTTTCTTCTTTCTTGTAATTTCTTCTTTCTTGTAATTTCTTCTTTCATTCGTTCTTTCTTTCTTTCCTTTTATCTTTCTTCTGGGATCTTTTCAGTTTTCTTTTTCTTATAAATGACTTCTTTCTTTCTTCAAGGTTTTTCAGTTTCCTTCTGTCTTGTAAATTTCTTCTTTCTTTGTCTGTTTCTTTTTTGTCTTCTGAGTTCTTTTCACTTTCTTTTTCTTATATGTTTCTACTTCCTTTCTTTCGTTTTTCTTTCTTCAGATATTTTCAATTTTCTTTCTTGCAAGTTTTTTTTTACATTCTTCCTTTCTTTCTTTCATCAGAGTTTCAGCTTTTTTTTTTACTTGTTAATTTATTCTTCTTTCTTTCATCTGAGTTCTTTACAGTTTTCTTATTTCTTATAATTTTCTTTCTTTCTTTCTTTCTTTCTTTCTTTCTTTCTTTCTTTCTTTCTTTCTCCTGAGTTCTTTTCAGTTTTCTTCTTATAAATTTATTCTTTGTTTCTTTCTTCTAAGTTCTTATCAATTTTCTTAGCTCTTGTAAGTTTCTTCTTTCTTTATTCCTTCAGTATTTTTTCTTTGTTGTAAATTTCTTTCTTTCTTTCTTTCTTTCTTTCTTTCTTTCTTTCTTTCTTGTGATTTCTTTCTTTCTTCTGAGTTCTTTTCAGGTTTCTACTGTTTTGTAAATATCTTCTTTCTTTCTTTCTTTCTTTCTTTCTTTCTTTCTTTCTTGTAAATTCCTTCTTTCTTCTGAATTCTTTTCAGTCTTCTTTTTGTAACTTTTTTTTTGCTTTCTTTTAAATTTTGCTTTTCTTGTCAGTTTCCTGATTTCCTGTAAAATTCTTTCTTTTTTATTTGGATTTTTTCATAATTTTGTCTATTTTCTTTCTTTCTTTCTTTCTTTCTTTCTTTCTTTCTTTCTTTCTTTCTTTCTTTTCTTTTTTCTTTTTTTTCTCATTTATCTTCATCACGATTAACATTTACCTCCGCATCATTTTACAACAACTAACTTCCGTCAGCCGCGCGCCGAAAATTATTTATTACATTTCATAAATTACAACTATTTCTTGTAAGCGTCTATTTTAGTTTTTCTCTTTGAGGACAAATCAAACTAAATCCGTTTCTTTAGAAAAAGGCTGATGTCCTGGGAGAAAATGGAATGTTGTTCTCTTTTTTTTTTTCGGTTTAATGCTTTTACCCGAGTAAAATAGAAACATCTTTGATATTATCGGTTATTGCAATAATATTTTTCTTTTGAATAATAATAATGATAATTTGTACGAGCCCCAGACTTGAAGAACGACTGAAGAAGTTGGAAAGCCCCCACAATATTCTGGGACTATGATTTTCAGGCAGAATAATACACCATCGTTGTTCGGATATTATTGGGCCAGATAAGGAGACAAAGAACTGTCATGTTGCCATTCCAAGTGAAACAAATGTAGCAAACAATGAGAAATTTACCAACCACTCCAATTTGAAAGTTGACATGGCAAGATTTTTTGGAAATGCAGGATGATAATGTCAAGACAGGGCCGGGACGTACTAATCCCCGACCGCGGGCAGAGAGTGGAGGTAAGCCTGACTGGGGGTCCTGGGCAGTACTTTGTGACGCTCATTATTCTGTCAACAATTGCTTTTTTTCTACTTATATTTATATACGTCACAGATTAAACAAAGCACAACTGACTATTAAAGGATGAAAAATTTACGCAGATTTTGGCGTCATTCTCCTAAATCCGTGAATGTATTTTGGTTATGCCAAGTTTTGAAAAAAAATATATATAAAATTCAGTATTTTTTAACCATAATGTTGAATGTGTTAGAATTATTCAACTTTCTAACAATGAAAATCTCAGTTGATGTAAAAATTTGCAGAAAACATTTTTAATGTATTTAAGATGGAATGATTTATTATGACATGTCTCTAATTTGTATTTAGATACATTGCATTTATTTTCAATTTTTCTAGTTGAATTGTTCACCTATATTACATGTGATCCATTATTGTACACAATTAGATTACAATAAAATTTGTATTTTATATGAAAACTACTTTATGAAAAATGAGATGTAGTAGAGTGGAGGGTTGTATCATAGATTCAGTATGTGTATGGGGGGGTGCTACGAGAACCTTGCACCAGACCTGCATCAATGTAATTCCAGTGGTGATTGGCGTATTGGGATCAACCCCATTAAAACTGTGTGACATCCTTGACTATACCAACTTGCAATCATCCAAACCCATCTTTTTGAGGCGCTGCCCACATTTCGAGGAAAATGTTGCATGTCAAAGATCCTTGTTGTGACTTTACAGGTACCCGGTGTATCCAAAAACTTACACTGGGTGACAAAATATGACAACAACAATAAGAAGTAGAAGCTATTGTCCAGACGCGTGGTAAGCCCGCTGGTCGTCTGAGACTCCTAATGCTAAGAGATCTCTGGGTGGTAGTAGTGACTCTGAGCCTTGGTTGGCAATCCACTTAGTGTTTGTGCCACGAACAAAATACACTAGGAAAGGGATAACCCTATATAAACCCACATATTCTTACAATCATGGAAATAAATAATGAAATAATAAACTGTCATTGTGCAGTTTCGAGCTGGGATCACTGAATAAGTTAAAGCCTGGCATGGCTAATTTGGATTGGTAAGTTTAGATTGGTACACGGTGGAGTAATGGATAGCGGCTCGGTTCGAGGAATCGTAGAGCAGAGTTCGAATCCCAGTCGAATTCATTACATTCACTTACGTGCTAATACCCTTGGGAAAGGTATGAATCCTCTCCTTCTCCCTGCAGCTATGGGTAAATAGAAGAACAGACCGGGTTCTATAACCTTGGATGGCAACTGGTCTACCGCAGAAAGAAATGGCAATCTACTGCGGGAAAAATCTGCCTTATCAGTCATGTATCGAAAGATACATGATTGCCAAAGTGTGTATCATGCACGGCACATAACTGACTGACTGAAGTTTGGTTTGGAAAGCTATGCTCGTAACGGTCGTTATCCTGCTACTAGCAATACACAGAACAATCAAGTTAAAGGGAATTAACGCAGACCGCCAATGGTAATGTTAATATTAGCCGTTTCCCTACAAGGAAACAATTGATATTCATTGACAGAATAGTCAGTATTACTTTCGTTAAAAATTTATAAAATCTTTCTCTTAAATAATTTTTCAGGGAAATAGATTTCCCAAATCTAGTAGCTGTTATCATTTTTTCCAGTATTGATGGGGAGGGGGTCTGTTTCTTAACCTTTTTATTTGAAATAGTGTAGAACGTCAGCATCTTGATTATGTCATTATTTTCTCTTTGAGTTACATGTGCTATCCATTTTAGTTGTTACTGCTGTTGTTAGTCTTCAAGTGATGGGATTTCTGTTGTAGAAACCACATCACTTGAGGACTACCAACAGCAGCAACAACTAAAATGGATACACTCTTTGTGATTTTGTAGCACCAGCTCACAATATTCAAAGAAGAATGATCTTTGCCAGGACCCTCAAGCTTCACTTGGTCAAAGCCTTTCTAACGATTGTTCTTAACAGCTGTATACAACTGAAAGCATGGTATCCATATGACAAGGCTATTTAAGAACATGACTTGTTTTGATTTTGCAGCAAGAAATAATTACGTAGAAGTCGATGGAACAAGAAAGATAATGAAATGGTCCTGGTGTGACATAACCTAAGCTTTTGTTGGACAGCAAACGTGGCGTCGTTGCTCGTGCGCTTGCGCTTGCTCATAGGAAAGAATCGGGAATGATTGCGATCTCTGAAATCATCTTGATGAAGCAGATTCGGAAGAGTAACTGGTGCACTGCAGGAGAAGCGGATACTATCAAGAAGAAGATATTAGAATCAAGCTAGATAATTGAGGAGGATTTTGAAGAGTCACTTGGAACTGAATGTGATGAAGGGGCCAACTTCTGTCCCTGGCGAAGAAGAAACTGGCGAAGCTGGCATAGCGACTTGCTTTGCAGTACAAGACACGGTTACGTCTGTACCTGAAGATGGCGGAGCTGTAAGATTTTTTTTTTAAATTTATTATAACGATCATAGTTGCTTGTTAGTAGAAGTGTAAGGAAAACACTGGAAACAAAAGTTTGAGTGAAGAAGGGTTTAATCACCTGAGAACATGAATTGAGAAAACAGTAGTTATCTACGACAAGCGTACGAACGATAAGCGCTAAGAATTTGTGACCCACTTTCTGCCTCTGTTCCACGAGCAAGCGTTCTACTTATATGGGATGGACGATTACATGTTTTAATAACAGGTGTAAGAAGGTTGAACAGTCTTTCTGCAAAACATGAGTGATGCAGCAGTAGATGAAAATGTGAATGAGGGTCCACAAATCCGTTTGAATATTTCTGTAGACGATGACTTTTGTGAAAGAATTGCTCGGTTACGTGAGTTTTATGATACCGTTGAAGTTCAGACGTCTTTCAACATTTGACACACCACCGGTTATGAGCAAATAGAGAGCAAAGGTTAATGTTGCATTAAAGTGTATGCAAAATGATAATATGACGCTTTGTGGAAAAGAGGGTAGAAGCCAAGCGAAGTGTGGAGAAGGTGAAAAGGGAACCATAGTGAAAAAGGAAAGCTGGAAGGCGATATCCGGAATTACCAGGAAGAATTTAGGTTAGACAGAGAGCTGCAGAATCAACCAGTATTTTTCATAAGTCGGTGATGTGACACTGTGTTGATGGCAGACACAGAAGGAAAATTAGAGGACCTACTAGTCAACGTTGTAAAGGAAAGCGAGAAAAATGGACTAAGCAGCAACTGTAAAAAGAGAGAAAGTATGATTGTCAGCAAGAGAAAACGTTCAAGATGCGAACTACAAATTGGAAATGTCAACGTCAAATAAGCCCAGAAGTTTAAATATCTGAAATGTGTTTTCAGAGTTAAAATTCGACACCAAAATACCAAAGTACAATGGAATAGCAAAAGAGCATTTCAAAAGTTAAGAAAAGTACCAAGAAACAGAAAGATATTGTTAGAAACAAAGAAAAGAGTGCTGAACTGCAATGTAATATCAATCGTCATATGAATTTAAGCGAGGTACCAGACTGACGACGAGGTTTCATTAATTTTATTTGCTAGATGCAACCGGAAGTTATATGCAAACAGTTTCTTTTCTTGCACTTCTCACTTGTAGAAATCCTTTCCGGCTCCATGCTTTCCAGTCATTCTCCTTTGAATTTTATCAAGGATCTCTAGATATATAGCAGGAACACCGGGCCATATATGGCAGAGATATTCTAAGCATGGACGAATGGTAGACTTATAGATATGTAAGCTAGATTCCGGAGAGAAAGATTGTCTGGCACGATACAGTGAACCAATTTTCATAGATGCTGACCAAGCAAAGGATTCAATATGGTAATTCCGTTTCATGTCAGCCGAGAACGTTGGCAGCGAATACTGGACAATTTCACCACAAATGAAGAGAAGACTTGACGCAACAGAAATGCGGTTCTACAGAATGATGCCGAGAATATCATGGACGAAACACGTGGACAACGAGGAAGCTTTCGGGAAAATGGAAACAAAAAGAATAAGAGGGTGACAGATGAAATTCCTCAGATGCATAATGCGGCAGGAGGATACGAAGAATTTGACACTCACAAAAGGTTTTTCGAAAAAAAAGGGACAGCGGCTTCTATGAATGGATGGCGGAACGAGAAGTTGGAGGGTATGGTAATGAGGCGAACGTTTATGGTCATCTGCGTCCTGAAGGAACATGGCAAGGAACATTCAAACATAGTGAAAAGGCAGACTTCTAATAACCTATGAAATCAAGATCAAACCCTTCAAAAAAATTATGGAAATGATTAGACAGAGAATAAAATTAAATCATATGACGCGATACACGGAAGGAAAAAGAAGTAGTTCGAATAAAATATGATTTTTTTTTTTTTTTTACTAACCAGAAAATCTTCTTTCACTCCCTTACTGAAGACGA